TAGACCCCAGCCTGGATTCAGCTTAGGAGGGAATGCCTCAAGGGTGTGAATATTGGAGACATAGTTCATTGGGGGCCACCTTTGGAGGCTAGCTAACACATCAATATTTACTAGAGAAATTCATGAACAGGATACCAAGTCTATTTCCTACCAAATGACCAAAAGCAAAGGAATGCTCAGCTTAATTGTCTTTTACTATACAAAAGTCTACACCCAAATCTTTTTGATGATTCCATGATCTCTCCCAAATATGCCTCATTCAAATTCTTTCGGCACTGCAGTCTCTTCGTTAGGTTCTAGCATGACTCTTACCTACACTAAATGTTTTCAGACAGCTGACTTCCAAAATTCAGAAAAATTAAGATATAACTAATATGTAGTATATCTATGTATTTAGTCTATGTATTTACAGAGACTTGTCAACTTTGTAAATTTTTTAATTAATTTTTTTTCTTTTTTAAAGTCTTGCACTGTCACTCAGGCTGGAGTACAGTGGCTTGATCCTAGGTTACTGCAGCCTTGAACTTTTGGGGTGAAGCGATTCTCTCACCTCGGCCTCCCAAGTACCTGGGACTATAGACACGTACCACCATGCTGGGTTAATTTTCAAAATTTTTTTGTAGACACAGGGGTTTCGCCGTGCTGCCCAGGCTGGTCTGCAACTCCTGAGCTTAAGCGATACTCCTGCCTTGGCTTCCCAAAGAGCCAGGGTTGTAAGCATGAGCCACCACACTTGGCCAACTTTGTAATTTTTTAATTGCCAATTAAGAACACTAAAAAAATGTACCATCTACTATTACTCTTGCTTCTTAAAGGAAAGCATGTTTAATTTTTTAAAAAGTAACAGAATTTCATACTGAAGGACAGCCTTAGTTCTGGTTACTTTATGAAAACATACTACATATCTTTGTTCTCATTTTGTTGCAAGTCATGAAAATCCCACCAAGGATTGCCACTGGTTCCTGGACCCAGTGTTTGGGAACCCCTAGTCAATTCAGTGTTACTGAACATTTTCAAGGCCCTTTTTTTTTGTTTGTTTAATTATTTTTTGAGATATAGTCTGGCTCTGTTGCCCAGGCTGGAGTGCAGTGACGCAATCTCAGCTCATGGCCATCTCTGCCTTCCAGGCTCAAGCAATCTTCCTACCTCAGCTCCCTGGGTATGTGGGACTATAGGTGGTTAATTTTTGTATTTTTTTGGTAGAGATAGGATTTCACCATGTTGCCCAGGCTGGTCTCGAACTCTTGAGCTCAAGTGATCTGCCTGCCTCAGCCTCCCAAAGTGCTGACATTACAGGTGTGAGCGAATTCACCTACCCTTCAAGGACCTTTTCATTCAACCTGCTAAAATCATTTCACATCTTTCCCTAGGGACTGTAATCAGACTAATGATATTGCAAATTCTATTACTCCCTCTTTTACATGGAATCATTTAAATCTGTGCTAATGTAAATAATCCAATTGTTAAATATTTGTCTCTGTATCAGGATTGGATAATGTTAACATAGTAGTTATGAATCGGGGGGGGGGCGGTTTCTGTAGTTAGATTGTCTCTGTTCCAATCAGAATCTGAGGAAATATTAACAACATAGTCTCTCTGCACTTCAATTTCGCCATCTGTGGCATAGTTTTAAGAGATTATGCAGAAAGTGTATGGAGTAGTGCCTAGCACACACATGGTAAACACTCAGTATGTTTGTTATATTATTATTTGAGATGGAGCCTCACTCTGTCACCCAGGCTGGAATGCAGTGGCTTGATCTCGGCTCACTGCAACTTCTACTGTCCTGGTTCAAGCAATTCTCCTGTCTCAGCCTCCTGAGTAGCTGGAATTACAGGCTCCTGCCATGATGCCTGGCTAATTTTTGTATTTTTTATAGAGGCGGGGTTTCACCATCTTGGCCAGGCTGGTCTTGAACTCCTGACCTCGGAATCTACCCATCTGGACCTCCCAAAGTGCTGGGATTACAGACGTGAGCCACTGCATGTTTGCTATATCATATTTATACATGGAATCACTAATTTGCACTTGCATGTAGGATTTTAACATACTTTACATTTTAAGAGTGATATCAAATATCCACAATACTTTGGAAGAGATTAGCCACAATTAGAAGATGGAATTTTAAGGTTGGAAGTGAACTGTATTTTATTTTTATTTTTTTGATATGGAGTCTGGCACTGTCTCCCAGGCTAAAGTGCAGTGGCACCCTCTTGGCTCTCTACAACCTCTGCCTCCTGCGTTCAAGCAATTCTCCTGCCTCAGCCTTTCAAGTAGCTAGGATTATAGGCACTCCCCACCATGCCTGGCTAATGGAAGGGAATTTTTAATGTCATATGATTCCAACCTGTTATAAGTGAGGACCTCCTTATTTAAAAAAGTTGGCCAGGCATGGTGGCTCATGCCTGTAGTCCCAGTATTTTGGGAGGCTAAGTCGGGTGGATCACAAGGTCAGTAGTTCGAGACCAGCCTGGCCAACATGGTGAAACCCCATCTCTACTAAAAATACAAAAACTAGCTGGGTGTGGTGGCACATACCTGTAATCCCAGCTACTCCAGAGGCTGAGGCAGGAGAATTGTTTGAACCTGGGAGGTGGAGGTTGCAGTGAGTGGAGATCTTGCCACTGCACTCCAGCCTGGGCCACAAGAGTGAAACTCCATACAGGGAAAAAAAATGTTAATTCAGAGTCCATATATCTTATGGCAGAAGATAACTATTGGTGTGTTACAATCATGAGGATAGCCTTGTAGGTAAGTAAGCTATATGGACCCCACATGTATTTCTAGTAGCTCTGCCAAGTTGGTTATTACTTCCACTTATATTTATCAGTGTTGCTCATGTATTGTCTTAGCTACCTGTTTCTTTTACATATGTGTCTAAATGGAAAGCAACATAATGTTCACCATTCTCTGAGAAACAACAAAATTCCTAATACCTAAAAATGGTAATAATAAAAAAAAAAGACAAGCAGGGTTTAGGAAATTTATTTTAGGACAACTGCCAGATTTATTTTAAGCCCTATGCTTAAAAATAAATCTAATTCACATGACTTAAAATGCTGGAGCCAAGAAAAGTCACTGCAAAGGCATTTAATGAAATACCTGGTTTGTCTAGTTGTCTTTGCTATGATTTTTGCATAAATTAAGAACTTCCTATCTTGATATATACAGTGGATTTTATGGCTAAATATTTTTTGTAATACATAAACTGAAAATAGAAATAGCCATTTTTTTCAAAAAATATAAGATTTTCCTGGCTGGTCCTGGTGGCACACGAAACCCAGCCCTCTGCGAGGCCAAGGCGGGCGGATCACGAGGTCAGCAGATGGAGACCATCCTGGCTAACACGGTGAAACCTCGCCTTTACTAAAAAAAAATACAAACAATTAGCCAGGCGGGGTGGTGGCCTGCGCCTGTAGTCCCAGGTACTCGGGAGGCTGAGACAGGAGAATCGCTTCAACCCAGGAGATGGAGGCTGCAGTGAGCCGAGATGGCACCATTGCACTCCAGCCTGGAGACAGAGCAAGGCTTTGTGGTAAAAAAAAAAAAAAAAGCGGACGCATGTAATCCCAGCTGCTACTTTGGAGGCTGAGGCAGGAGAATCGCTTGAACCCAGGGGACAGAGGTTGCAGTGAGCCAAGTTTGCGCCACTGAAACTCTGTCTCAGAAAAAAAAAAAAAAAAAAAGATTTTCCAACATCTGACTTCTGACTCACTTCATAAGGTTGGTGGGCTGTTCAGATGCTGTAGGATGCTTTTTGCCTAGAAAGACAATTGGTTCATCTGTACTATTTTCCAGTATGGGGTAAAACACCCACATTTTCTATTTCTAGTGATTCTTAATTTGACTTCTGAGCAAAAATAAAGTTTGGTTAGAAATAAATTAAGGTAGATTTCTTGCTGAAACCAGTGAAGAACATTATCAGGAGTGAGTGAAAAGTCTTTCACATTCCTTCACATCACAGTCACCTGAAGCAACGGAACTAGGAGAAATGCCCATTATTCTCAAGTCCTACATTAGTTCTTATAAAAATCACAATTACGTTTTACTGAATGTTTTGACATTGAAATGGCAGCCTTACACGTCCAGGAGAGAACTACAGCGAGGGTGTTAATGAAGTGACAGAACTAATATGAACGACTTAAAAATATTGATTTTTTTCCACGAGATTTTCCTTTAAAAAATTAAATTGAGCTTGACTTCTATTGACTATCTTTCGGAGTCAGTATTTTATGGCTCCCCTGACACACACGCCTGGGGTGGGATGGCCGAGGGCTGCAGGAACTTTCCCAGGAAATCTTTTTTTTTTTTTTCTCCCCTATCTCCAGTAACGGCTATAAGCAATTCCCAGGGAATCTTAAACGGTTCAACGCCGGGGCTCGCGGAGGGCTGTCCACCGAGTACCACAGAAAACCAAACGCCACTGGTGCTAAATGCTGGTACCTGCCGATGGAAAGGCATCTTCCCTAAAAAATAACCTACCTCCCATCCTAACAGTAACAAGGAGAACAAGCACTTTTTCCTCGTCAGAAGTCTCTGGACTGGCTGCAACCCAGAGGAAACAGAGTTGGGGCAGCTGCCGGGACAGCGACCAGAAGCAGCCAGAACTCCACCTCGGTCCAGACCTCCGAGGCCGCTTCACAGCCGCGCAGCCCAGTAGGGCTAGGATCGTGCGGGCCGCTGCTGACGCCCCGTCGGCTCCACCCAGCGGTCCGCCTTCTCCCGCGATCAGCCTGCAAGGTCCCGCCCACCTCACCGCCCCGCCCCGCCCTGCGAAGGCTACAGCGTGCGCGCGCGCGCGCGCGGGGTCCCGGCTGGTTCCCCGTCCGAGCGTCCGCGCTCCGCATGCGCAGTGTGCGCCGGCGGTCTCCGTTTGTTTGAACAGGAAGGCGGACATATTAGTCCCTCTCGGCCCCCCTCGCCCCACCCCCCCCAGGCATTCGCCGCCGCGACTCGCCCTTTCCCCTGCTAGGACCGCAGCCCCTCCCTGGAGCTCCCCCATCAGCAGCCGCCGGGACCCAACTATCGTCTTCCTCTTCGCCCGCTCTCCAGCCTTTCCTCTGCTAAGTCTCCATCGGGCATCGACCTCGCCCTGCCCCACCGGACACCGTAGCAGCAGCTCCAGCAGCGACGGGACAAAATGGGAGAGTGAGGCTGTCCCGTAGGGACCAGCTCGTGGCCAAGACTGATCGGTGCGTCGGGCCGGGCCGAGTAGAGCCGGGGATGCGGGGCTAGACAGTCTACAGCGCCTCTGAGCGGAGCGGGCCCGGCCCGTGGCCCGAGCGGCGGCCGCAGCTGGCACAGCTCCTCACCCGCCCTTCGCTTTCGCCTTTCCTCTTCTCTCTCCCTTGTTGCCCCGAGGGAGTCTCCACCCTGCTTCTCTTTTCTCTTCGCTCCTGCCCATCTCCGGACGGGGACCCCTCCATGGCGAAGGCGGCCGGGGCCCGCTAGGCCGAAGCACCTCGCCGGAGCGACGAGGCTGGTGGCGACGGCGCTGTCGGCTGTCGTGAGGGGCGGCCGGGTGGGATGCGACTTTGGGCGTCCGAGCGGCTGTGGGTCGCTGTTGCCCCCGGCCGGGGGTCTGGAGAGCGGAGGTCCCCTCAGTGAGGGGAAGAAGAGGGAACCGGGCGCACCTGGTGACCCTGAGGTTCCGGCTCCTCCACCCCGCGGCTGCGAACCCACCGCGGAGGAAGTTGGTTGAAATTGCTTTCCGCTGCTGGTGCTGGTACGAGGGCATTGTCACAGCTGTAGCAACATGTCGACTGGGGACAGTTTTGAAACTCGATTTGAAAAAATCGACAACCTGCTGCGGGATCCCAAATCGGAAGTGAATTCGGATTGTTTGCTGGTGAGTAGTGCTGCTCTCTTTTGCTAGTCTGGTGTTTTGCATGTCTTGTCTTCCTCTTGCGTTAGTCCGGTTAGCTGCAAAAGAAGTCTCAGGTGTGCATAATCGTCTTGGAAAACGCTAGATTTCTGTTTCCTGAAGAATCTTGGAGTACCATTAAGATCTCACAGCGTGGTCCTGTTTACCATTTGACTGGCTCTGTACTAACTACTCTCGGAACTCTTAATTCTCACCCAGTTCATCAGTACACGAAAGATACAAACTGTTATTGCAGGCATCCTATAAAGTTATCGCGTCAGTTACTGCTACGTACATAGTTTGTTGAATGGCGATCGTAGTAATAATCTTTCTGATTTGTTTGACAGTCAAATTGGAAAGTCTACTTTGCGTTTTTTTCTTTTCTTCTTCTTCTTTTTTTTTTTGCGATTTAGCTCCTAGGGGTTTAGTTTTTAGCCTTGAAAGTGACAACGGAGAATTGATATAGAGGAAGTGATTTTTGAGCCAAAATGTCATAAGTGATTGGAGTTTGAAGGAACTTTTTGCTGAACTATTGTAAAAACCCAATATAATTGATCATGGGTCATTGCAATGTTAACTTCTTTTATAATGTTATTGGTTACAGAAGTACCATACAGTCTTTTTGGTTGTGTGACACTTAACAGTGCCACTTTTAAAACATTCTAAAGAGGGTTTTATGACATGAAAAACCAAAATCCCATTTTAAAAGTAGTACAGTAGTTGATAATATGCACAGTTATCTGTGAAGTATTTGGAATTCTTAGGTCTGATACATTTCTTCTGTAAACGAGTTTCTGAACTAAGGGTTATATAATATTTCTCTTTTAGTCCAAACAAAACAACATAATCTCTAAAATAAGGTTTCAGGGAGTATGTAAATGGACAGGATTTCACAGTGTCTCTGATGAAATAATGTTAGATATGCACGATTTTGGGAATTAAGATTAAGGAAGCAGTACAATTCAAAGAAATAATTCAATTCAAAAATCCCATCTTGAATCAAAGAAAAATTAATGTAGATTGTTTAAAATTAACGTCCATTTTATTCTAAATTTCTGTTTATTTATATTTTTCCACATGTATGGGTTTTACAAGAAGCTTCCCAAAGCTTTCAGAATTGTTCTATGCATCCCTGACCAGAAAATAAGTGTATTGTGGGTTGTTTGAAATGTCTCAACACATTATGGATGCTCTTTATATTGAGAAATAGTAAAGAAGGTTGATGCTTAATAAATTTTAAAACATTTTATTAAACGAGACAAGTGGAAGGGATTAGAATACATCTTTCCTGTAAGGATTTCTGTAACTTCTAAGAAGTCCGATTTTTATTTTAATATTCAGTTTTCATATATCTTTGATTTTATTTTGCTTTTCGATCTCATTATCACATAAGGTGGTGTTACAGGGAGGGTTTGGTAGCTTTCTTTTTGTTTTAAATCATCTTCGCTTGTTTGTGGAGATCTTTATTTAGATGTGGAGGATACATGGAAATATAAGTCATGGACTCTTGCCTTGAGAGTCCAATCTTTTTAGGAAGACAATACCTTATCTCACATGTATACATAGAAACAAAGCCAAACACTTCACAGATTGAGAAAACGTGATAAATTCCAGATGATTGTTTAGATAATGATGCTCTTGGAAATTGAGAAGTCACTGTGAGTTGAGAGAGCCAAAGTGAGTTGATGGATAGATAGGATTTAGATAGGGGGAATTCAAGAGGAGTGGAGGATAACGTGAATAGAGGGTGGAGACATGACTGGCTATGACATGTTTGGGGAAACAAGGAAGATAAGGTTGGAAGGAACGATTAGGGTTAGATTGTGGAGGATTTGATTGGTAAGCTAAGGATTTTGGACTGCCTTTACTGTGTTGTGGCTATTAAATATTTATAAATAAGAAAGTGCTAGGATGAATGAAGGAGATGAATCTAGTGGCGTGCAAGATGGGTTAGCATGGGAAAAGACTGGAGAAACGATGAGATTGGACAGTTTTAAAAAACTATTATTGTAATAGTCCAGAAATGATTGAAGCCCCAAATTGGGGCATGAGAATGAGAAAGGAAGAATTAATGGAACTTTATTGGTAGGGTTGGGGAAAAGAAGGGGAAGCAAAGAGAGAGGCAGTAGTCAGATGACTAGAAAGGTTGAGTCTGGATTATAGGGAGAATGGTAAAAATAGCAAAGTCAGGTTTGGAAATTGCTTGGGAAGAATAGGCCTATAGATAAATTCAATTTTAGATTTGTTGTGTTTGAGGGGATAGTGGAGCAATCATGAGAAAATGACCTGTAGAGACTGTTGGAGATAGGGAACTGAGCTCATGATTACAGATAATAATTTGGAAGTCATTTGCACAAAGGTGCAAGTTGGTATAATGCTAAAGGGAGAAACAGTGGAGAGAAAACTGAGGGTTAAAGATGAAGGTTGAACAAAGAGGAACAGTGGAGGAAATAAGGCCTCCAGAGTTAGGACAGCCAGGTGTCATGGAGCCCAACACTTCTAAAACAACATTTGGAAAAAGAGAATAGTCAATAGACAGATCTGGTTATTTTTTTTTCCTTGAAATCTTATATCTTGTCCCCTTTTTTCTGTTTGGTTCCACAGCTGTTTATTGATAGCTGTTACTGAAATTTTATTACCCTATCAATCTGAACTTGGTAAGGACTGAATTTTCTTTCTTTCTTTTTTTTTTTCCCTGAGACAGAATCTCACTCTGTCGCCTAGTCTGGAATACAGAGGCACGATCTTGGCTCACTGCAACCTCCGCCTTCCAGGTTCAAGTGATTCTTCTGCCTCAGCCTCCTGAGTAGCTGGGATTACAGGTGTGCACCACCACGCCTGGATAAGCTTTGTATTTTTAGTAGAGACAGGGTTTCACCATGTTGGCCAGGCTGGTCTTGAACTCCTGACCTCAAGTAATCCGCCTGCCTGGGCCTCCCAAAGTGCTGGGATTACAGGAGTGAGCCACTGTGCCTGGCCCAAAACTGGAAAAATCATTTTTTCAGTCTTGTAGTATATAGCATGAATTTTCTTTGCATGATGTTTTATATTTAACATTGAGCATTCATTCATTCATTCTGTCATTCGGAGTGACCTATCAGGTGACTTCAGCTTTTTCAGTGAGTCTGTTCTTGTTCTCCTCTATCTGGACTTTGGACTTCTCATATATTATAGGAACAAAATTCCTTTTACATTGGTTGCCTTTCTCTATTATTTTAACTTCTGTTGATTTGTTTAACTGATACTTATGTATTATGTGCCATGTGCAATCCTTTAGTTCTAGGGTTTTTTTTAATAATCTCAAAAATAAGGTTTTCAAATTATGTTTCTTCTCTACTTCCTTTACTAGATTCATGCTTAGAAGTGGAAGCTTTCAAATCTTTTGGTTTCAAGTTATCTGATATATGTCTTTTTAAACTACCTTACCCACAAAACAGCTTTTTTGTTGAGACACTAGTGATGACTAGCATCTGTAATCTGAAATTTGAAGTGCTGAAAATCCGAAACTTTTTGAGTGCTGACATGACGCCGCCACAAATGGAAAATTCCACACCTGACCTTGTGCCATGGGTTGCAGTGCAAATGTAGTCAAAACTTTGTTTCATGCACAAAATTATTAAAATATTGCATAAAATGACCTTCAGGTTGTGTGTATGAGGTATATATGAAATGTAAATCAATTTCTTATTTAGACTTGGTCCCCCCATCCTCAGGATATCTTATGTATATGGAAGTATTTCAAAATGAAAAAGTCTACAATTCGAAACACTTCTAGTCCCAAGTATTTCAAACAAGGGATACTCAACCTGCAGTAGTTTAAAATAATGTAGCTGGAAGAACTCTGATAAGTGACTATCCAACCTTTTCTTGAACATCTATAATTTTTTTCAAGAACTAAGTAAGTTCATTTTTCATATTGTATATAAATGCTAAACTAGTCTGAAAATACTAAGATATATTATGATAACCATTCACTTGTTTCCTAGAGCATTCAAGTTATTCAACTTTGGTTTTCCGTAAGTCAGATTCTTTCCAGTGTCCTAATGGTTGTCTTTCTTACTGTCCATGTTATAGTTTTATAAAGATTATCGGGAGCTTTTTCTCTTTTCCTAACTTCCTTATCTTAGAATTATTTTGTCTAGGGCCTGTAATAATTTCTCAGTAATTTTGAGTATCTTTGAAAACAGAGTAAGGGATAGAGTGTAGTTAAGTCTGTTGAATCTTTGCAGAGGAAAAGATGCTTATGACTTGTAAATTAAAAAGGAAAAAAGGCCGGGCGCAGTGGCTCATGCCTATAATCTCAGCTCTTTGGGAGGTCAAGGCAGGCAAATAGCTTGAGCCCAGGAGTTTGAGAGCAGCCTGAGCAACATGGGGGAACCCCGTTTCTACCAAAATGCAAAAAATTAGCCAGGCATAATGGCATGCACCTCTGGTCCCAGCTACTAGAAGGCTGAAGCTGCATAATTGCTTGAGTCCATGAGGTGGGAGTTGCAGTGAGCCGAGATTGTGCCATTGCCCTCCAGCCTGGGCAACACAGTGAGAACCCGTCTCAAAAGAAAAGGAAAAACAAAAATGATTGGGAGGGTTGTGGATACATTTGTTGTGAAGTTTGACATACCTTTGATGAAAATACAGCTATCTTGGTTGTCGCATATTTATGAGCACACTGCTTCACAATGCCAGTTAAGAACCTGACCTTTCTGTTTTTCTTCTAGCTGGTGGAGATGTAGCAACCAGTGAGTGGAGGAGATGGAAGGGAACCAATATTAGTTGAGCAGTGCATATTGAGTTCTAACACTGTGCTGTTCCCTTTGTATATGTCTGTCACTACTGTTTCTCATTAGGGAATTTTTCAGAACGTGGAAGATTAAATGTAAATAAATGTAAATGAAATTTCTCGTGTTAATCTTTGAGTTTTTCTTTCTTTAAATTCTCTTCCTGGACTCTCTTGACCTAGTGGTTTCCCATCTTTTCATTCTTTTTTT